AGTAGCCTTTGTCGAATAGAAGGTGAGTAAATTCCAGCAACAAAAGCATCACAAATTAGTAAGTTAATGTTGTTCTGTTGGACATTTTCTTGTGAGTTGCTTCAGGCTGCTCATAAAGCTTTCAATTGTTTCTCCCTCTTGTTGCTTATAAGAGAAAAGTTTGTGGCGCATAATAATAGCTGTTGATCGTTTTTGATATTTGTTATTGAGTATTTTGATTGTGTCATTATATAATGTAATATCTTGGATTACTGTGGTTAAGTTCATTTTATTGACAACAAAACAACATGCTGAGTCATAAATATAAGACATGTAAACAATAATTTTGACTTAATACTCGCAAATATAGTTTCTGTAAGCGAGTTGTTAACATTTTGAATCATTTGCCTTCCAATCTTCTTTGGATTATGTTGATCCTGATAGAAGATCTTTAAAAGAAAAATTACCTCATACATTTAAAAAAAAATAGTTGCATTGATTGCATCTTTTTGTTTATATAAGTTTTTATACAACTTTTTCATTTGTATTATGCAAACGTTATATGCTGTTACATAATTAATTTTGGGCACACTGTCAGTGTCCTACAGTATAGGCGAAAGTGTCATTTACAACATGTATCATTTCTTATAATAAATACAGTCTAATCTTATCCAATCTTCTTATAATAAATACAATCTAATCTTATCTTTTCAGCAGATTTTATAAACTATTTTAATCTAACAAAAGTTCTGCTTTTTTCTAAAATTTATTTGAATCAGGCTCAGTCAGGAAGCAGGTGCAATCACACTCGATAACTGACCACGGAAATAATATTTAGTTGCGAAAAACCGGCCAGATTTTTTAGTCGTTTTGAGAACATTCTTGTTTATGTATGTTTCCTTGTTTGTCCGCAAAATGATAAGTTCATTATATTGTAAATTTCAAAATATTTTGTTTTACGGACTTATATGGAAACATATATAAACTAAAACATCTTAGTGCGAAAAAAAAAAAAAAAATCCTGCCAAATCTACGAACAACTAATTCTATTAGTTTAAAAAATACTAACCGAAATTTCACCGAATGTCCTGAATATTCTGTTGAAATATTTAAAAAAATTGTATTATTTGAACTTTGTTACGTTTATGTTGAGATTTCTAAGATAAATTATTTTAAGAATTTACTATCAAGCAAACTATTACTTTAATTCTTGAAACCACATCTTCAAAAATATAAATGTTTTAAACTAACATTTGTTTACAATAATAAATGTTTTAAATTTATATTTATTAACTTGTCAACATTTTGTAAATATATTATAGATTTTATTAGTATATTCTAATTTTTTATATATAAGGGATGTATTTTTTATGTATGTAATGTCTTTTTATGTATGTAATGTATTAAAATTATTAAGCCCACTCACTAAATATTATCAGTGGTATTGTGAAACAGTTCCGCTTCCTCCTCACAAAGTAGTTAAACGTTTTTAGTTAATTTCTATCTAAGTAATTGAATTTCTACAGTAACTCCCTGATTTAATTATTTCATTTGTTCATCTTACTAAGAAGAATTGTTTCAAATGTGTTAAACTTTTTAAACTAACCGTAGCTTAAAACAGTTATTGAAAAAACTTTTTTTATTTATAAATAAATCATCTAGAGTTAATTGGTAGGACTTTTCAGGGCCGGGGCTGCATTATTTTGGCGGTCTTTTTTATGTGCCACAGCGTAAAAATGACTAAAAAAAATAACGAATGGTCCTCTTGATTATTTCCCATAACATTGTGACTCCCGGGGCTACAGCCTTACTACCCCCACCCCACTGCCTCAATCCAGCTCTGGAAATAAGACGTAAGTGTATAAATAAAAATTATATATATTCATTGATAAATCGAAGAACATTTGTTTCTTTATAGTTGTTACTGTATATTAAAATGTCGCTTAATTTTATAAAAAAGTAATAAAAGAGCGACGTTTTTAAAAAAATTGCTCTAATAAATTTGATTGTTTTTTCGCGTTAAAAGCTATTTTTCTTTTTTTAACTGTCTCTCATCAGTCCAGTTAATCTTATTGCGCTTTTTTGTTTGTTTTTGAAATGTTCTCAAAACCACTGAAAAATCTGGCCGGTTTTTCGCAACTAAATATTATTTCCGTGGTCAATTGTCGAGTGCAATTGCACCCGCATCCCGACCAAGCCTGATTTAAATCTATCTAAAATTAATAATATTTTAAAATATATTTGATTTTATGTAAAAAGACTGTCAGACAAAATTAACATAATAAAAAACATTAATGATTATTTTTTTTTTCTAAAAAAAAAAAAGAAGTATTAGTAAATAAAGTTATTTTAAAAACATATTTTAAAAATTCAAACAATTTAAATTTAATTGAAGATTAAGTAAAAATAGTATAAAATTATTCTTTTTAAAAAATATTTTTTTTCAGTTATGGTTTTTTAACTATTTTGTTTTACTCATTTTCCTTATCCTTAATTTTTTTTTTTTAATAATAATAATGTTTTTTATTAATAATTTACATAATAAAGTGAAAACTATTTTTTATTATTAATTTATTTTTAATGAAACAGTTCTTTCTTTAGTAGTAAGTTGTTAATCAAATTTTTTTATCAAGTTTTATCACCTGAGAAAAAATACCCAAAAAATTTAAAATATCAAACTTCTGATTATCACTGTGGATGACTTAAGTGAGACAGGGGTGGAGACTCTGGTGTCTCTCAAAGTGGAATTTCTGGTGTCTCACCATTTTTTTTGTTTTTTAAAAACAATGAACTCTGTTTTTATCCCTAAATTCAAAAGTTGTTATTCAATTAAAAATATTTATATTAATCTTGAAGTTATGAAGTAAAATCTCATTATAAAACTATAGTATTACTATTATTTTTATTTTTATTATTATTTTTATCAATAAAAATTATTATTTAAACTTTATTGTTTTAATTCATTTGATAAATCATCTGATAAATCTAAAAAAATAAAAAACACAGTCCAATAAAGGGTTTGGTTCCTCTCATGGCAAAGTGCAGCAAAACAAAGGAAATGTATGTTTAGTATTAGACTTCAGAGAGCTAATCATGTTTATTAAAGCACTCACAGAAAACACAAATGTATGTGCTGTCAATCTTTGAGACTAGAGACAGTTTGGAGAAAATATTTTAATTATTGATATATCTTCATGCAACTCATAATTGATGAGAAATTCTGAGCCTATTGAACTGTTGTATTCCATGGACAAAGATTTTGTGTAACACTTTTGGGTTTGGTCTAAATGTTTTAGGTTTGAATCCTCTGTCCATTCTTTTAAGTGTTTTACTTATTGCACTCCTTCTTCTTACGACTGCACTCTTTTTGATATTACTGATCAAATTGACCAAGCACTTTCCCTTTTTGCAATTGGTGACTGTAATGCGCATCACAATGAGTACCATTCTTGTACCATTCATTCTTGTACTATTGACCATGCTACTAAAGCTCATAACTTTTACATTTCTCAGATGATTAACGTTGTTACTTGTTTTTGAGACAACCCTCTCCTACCTTCACATCTTAATTTTTGTCTCTGACCCTAGTTTCTCCTTGTTCTCCTTTAGGTGGTTCAAAGTTATCTCTATATCTCTAAATCTTTTATCTCATACTTCCTCAGACTACCAAAAAGCTAATTAATATAACACTAATTAATTAATGTAACTAATTATTTATGTAATTGGTTACATTTTTTATGTAATTAATTACATTTTTTATGTAATTAGTTACATTTTTTATGTAACTAATTATTTTAATCATTTTTCAAAATAAAAACAAAATTTTATTCAAGGGTATAAAAGAAATGCAAAAAACACTTATAAAGTGTATTTATAACCTAAAAAACTAAATACAAATATTTTGTTTTATATTAACTTAACACACAGGGAAATAACTTTAAAATTCTGGAATTAAACTTTGAAAAACCTGCAATCTTTGTTATAAATTCTTAACAAAGAGTCTAAATAATGTGGAATTTTTAATTTTAATTTTTAAAATTGGTGAATGACTAATGTTAACTTTGATTAATGAATAAAAAATTAAAATGGTTTTCTAAAGATTTATATTAAATATTAATAATAGTAATGGTATTACAATTCTATATGTAATATAGTGTAATATATCAATTTTGAAAAACAAATTTTAATCATCATTTAAAGTGAAAATTTTAACTTATTTTAAAAAATGATAAACATATGATAATGGAAAAAAATGAAAAACATACAATGATAAAAATATGATGATCATGGATTGAGACTACAGATGTAAGATGATAAATGTAATGATATAATGATAAACAATGAATGATCTTCTTATACTTTACTTCTAGAAAAACTTAACACACATTCTGTCAAGATAAAATTAATTACTGGCAATTCAATTTGTAGCTTTCAAACTACTATATAACTAAGATATAACTTTTATACTTTCTATTATTGCAGTTTTTTAAAAAGCGATAGAACATAATGTACTTTTAATGAACTTAATGCATTAATTTAATTGTTTTTGACGACAATAGAGTGTAGCTTAATTGTTGAAGTAGCTTAAATGTTGTATATATATATATATATATATATATATATATATATATATATATATATATATATATATATATATATATACATATACATATACATATATATTAGTCAGAAAACATCAATTAATACGAATTCTCTTAATACAATTAATAATTTATTATTAGACAATATAATGCTAAATTAAGAATTCATATTAATTGATGTTTTCTGACTAATATATATATATATATATATATATATATATATATATATATATATATATATATATATATATATATATATATATATATATATATATAATATATATATATATATATATATATATATATATATATATATATATATATATATATATATATATATATATATATATATGTATACATATATATATATGTTTATAAACTTTTTACAAATTTTTTAATTCTTTTTTTTAAAAATATTAGAAGAGCAACTCAAGTGTTTTTCCCAGAAAAGCCTCTCTACATTGCTAGAGGAAAAGGGCAGTATCTTTATGATGAAAATGATGTCCAGTATCTTGATTTAATGAACAATGTTGCTCACGGTATTTATATATTTTTAATTTCTAGATTTTGATTATGAATATACATAATTCGTTTTAAAATAATTTTTTTTAATTAATTTTATTAAAGACTGTCCTGAATAATAATGACCCATAGAGTTTTAAATATTTTAGTATAATAACACCACTTAATTGGTTTTAGTATAATCAAACCACTTAATCAATTTTTATAGTTATTTTGTTATTTTGAAGAAAATGGGTCTCTGCATAAATTTTTTGAAAACATTTTTAAACTGAGCACAATATTTTTTCAAATTAATGCTAACATCTTTTTTTGATGCTACATACCAAATTGAATGGAATTGATTTTTGTCTTGTTGCATGTTTTATTGCTTTACTTGTATCCACTTAATTTAATATTTTGTTTTGAAAACTTGTCCACCGCATGTTGCATGTTTTGGTAAATTGCGTGTTGAAAAATAAATCCAACTAAATTAAGTAGAAAATTAAAAAATCTCTAACTGAAAAGAAAAGCAAAATCCTAACAAATAATAAAGCAAATTAAAGATAAACCAGTAAGAGCGAAAGGAAAAACTTAATATTTTTTTGTAGTTTAAAAGCGATTCAATTATTAGTTCAAACCTAATAATTTTTTAATAGCGTCTTATTAATTTAAAGCTAATAAATTTTCACCCATCACTATGTTAGTGTAGCGCTTAGGTTGATTTAATGTTATATATTTTACCGAATCATTTTTTAAATGTTTTCTTTGCTTAGTAGACAGTAGAAAATATCTAAGTTCCAAATTTTTCAACACATTCAAATATTATGTGTGGTCATATAAGTAGTGTGACGGTTTCTACAAGAAAATCTTAATATATAAATATAGAGAGACGTAAAGTATACCTCAAACCTCTTGATTTGAGCCGAAAGTTCTACTATTAGTCATCTACTGCATTAAGTTTACCATAATAAAGTTTGATAGTACACAATATTTAAATTACTTTGTTAAATCAACTTTATTAAAACTATTAGTAATGGTATTTTAAATTTAATTAATAAGTATTTTAAATTTTCAACTACTTGTATTTTAAATATTCAAATATTTAGTTGACAAGCTGAAAATTTAAAAAAGCTGATAATTATCAGATGTTAATTATTATTCAGTTGTTTTATTTTTACATTTGTAATATGTAAAATTTTTTGTTTAATTTGCAGTTGGTCATTGTCACCCAAAAGTTGTTGCATCTGGATCTCATCAAATGTCAATATTAAGCACAAACTGTCGCTTTCTTCATGAAGATATTATTAAAGTTGCAAGTAAGCTTACTGAAAAATTGCCAGAAAAATTAAAAGTTTGCTTCTTCACCAACTCAGGGTAATTTTTTTTTTTTTGATGTGCTGTTATTTTAATTAAAAAAATTTCTTTCTTGATATATTGAACACTTTTAATGAGTTTAATTTAATTTGTTCGGTATTAGTTTTATTGTCGATATTAATTTAATTTTATTAAATCAGTTCTTTGGAATTTGCTTCCTTCATCTTGCTTTCCTGATTCATATAATTTGCAATCTTTTAAGTCGTCTGTCAATCGTTATCTTGCTCTACAATATTCATCTTTTCTCTTCCAGTAACTTCCAACACTAATTAGTGGTTGCTTGCAGCCTTGTTAAAAGCAAAGATATTTAAAAAAAAAAATAAATTCAGAATTATATAGCAATTTAGAAATAAAATATTTGAAAACCACAATGTTTTTTCAGAAAAAAAAAAAAAAAAAACCCGCAGGTATAAAACTTACATTTTAAAAATAGAATATATTTTATTAGAGTATATTGAGTAGAATATATTTTGAATATTTTTTTGTAACTTGTAATTTTTTATTATACCTTAACCAATTTTTCAAATTAATAAAAAATACACAATTATTCAAATTAAATTTTTTTTTTAAATTTTTTTTCATCCCCTAGACTGAGACCATTACAATAGCTTTGTTGTAGTTGCAATCCTCTCTTAACTCTTAACACAAATCTTGACAAACAAGCTTGTTGCGCGGAGAAACAAGTTGAGTGCTGTACATTAATGAAAAAATAAATTACATAAATAAATAAAATATTTGATCAGTAAATAATATGTAATTTACATAAATAAATTAAATATATATATAAGTTAAATTTTTACTAAATTTTTAGTTGATGTTTTTGAATTTAAAAACATTTTTCAAAACTATAATTAACAAAAATATTTGACTAAAACAGGGGCCATGTTTGATAAAAGAGAGCTAGGGCTGGGTTTGTGACTAGGGAGGGGAGTTCATAAACATTGATAAATCCTAAAAAAATATAATTTTTATTTGAAATTCATATTTTATATATAAATATATGTATTTTATATATAAATATATGTATAAAATTTTATAAACATCTTTATGATGATGATGATGATGATGATGATGATGATGATGATGATGATCATCATCATCATCATCATCATCATCATCATCATCATCATCATCATCATCATCATTGCTTTAGCCTCTCCAATTCTTTCTCTAGAATATAAATGTAAGTGAGCGGATCATCAAACTTTAGACCTCCCTTTTTATGCTGTTTTTATAATATAAACATCTCAAGCATTATATTTTTTTAACTAAAACTTGTTCATATCATATCTAGGGCACTCTCTTCAAGTTTTCTTACTTTTATCTGTACCATTTTCTCCTGAAGCTGCTACCTTTCGAGGCTTTCACAGGAATGTGTGCGATCGCACGTCTTTATATGACCACACAAAAAATAATATGTTTTAATGATTTGACCACAGCTTTTGACATATTTTCAAAATCCAAAAATGCGCTACAAAAACTTACCTAAACTTATCTAAAAAAAAAAAAAAATTGTAAAAAAAAAAAATTTTAACGAACAAGAAAATAAAATAAAAATACTTAGTTAAAGCATAAAACGTAAAAAAATAAATTTAGATATAACCCAACTAAAAAAAAACTCATCAAACTAAATGCTTAATTTATTTTAATTTACGCATTAAAAAACCATTTCAATCACAAGGATAAAACATGTAATAATACTTATGTCAAGTTTTGTGAAAGCCCTAACCCATATTTTAAATACAGAACCGCCCACAGATAGATTATATTCTAAAAAATAGTTATCTGAGTTCCAGCATAGCTGTAAAACTTATATCAAATAAAATAATTATGTTATGAAAAAAGTTAATCAGTTACCTTTAATGTTCACTTTGCATAGAAAAAAAATCGGAGCACTTTTTAAAATATCCGTTCTAATAAACCAAAGTAAATGTAGAGTAACAACAGAAACAAAAACTTCTAAAAAACTGGAAAGAACTTTTGACACTAATTCCCAGCTCTTTTGGAGCAAAATAAAAACTGGTCTAACTATAAACCAAATAAATGAAATTCCAGAAGGGGGTCCTCCATAAAGTGCGTGCACGCGCCAAAAATTTAGAAATTTGATCCCCTTCTTCCTCCCTGTTGCCATGCATACTTTAAAGCCCCTCCCCCCTAAAAAGTGCATATGCTTTTGAACTACCTTTCCCCCTCATCTTTTTTTTTTTTTTAAGAGATGAAAAATTTTTAATTTAGAAAAAAATTAATTAAATTCAGAAATATTTTTTAAATTAAAGCCATTACTTTATTGAACGTTTTTTGCAGATCCCTCATTCCTTTAATCTGCCTAAGATACTTTATATCTACATTTATTTATATCTACATATCTATATTTTATATCTACATTTATTTATATCTACATATCTATATTTGCTCTACAGATTTAGTATTTTCTCTTCCAGTAACTTCCAACTCTTATAGTGGTTGCTTGCAGCCTTGTTGGAAGTGAAGATGTTTAAAAAAAAAAAAAAAAAAAAAAAAAAAAAAAAAAAAAAATGACCCCAATGTCCTTGGTTTTGGCACCAGATCCCAACTTTTAATGAATTTTATTTACTTGTTTTTGTGACAAATCAAATATAAAGAAACATTTTAGGTAGATGTTTTTTAGGCATCCTTCTTTAGTAAGTCCTTAAAAACGAATCTTATGCAAGATGAGTCATATTGAAAAAAAAGCCTGACCTTTTTTTTAGCAATACCTTGCAAAAAATGTTTTAAGATTTTAGGGCCCTAATGACAGTTTTTTTTAGGAAGGAGGCTGAGGCCTCTGACACATTAGCCTACAGCGTTGCTGAACCTGTTTTTTGCAGACTCAAAAAAGGAGTTGCCTTTCTTGAGTCTGCAAAGAATTTTTTTTACTTTTAAATCTGAACTTTCACCCCCCCCCATACACTTTAGTACAATGTTTGAGCATATTTACTTTATGGACGACCTCAAATTCAAAATAATGTTTGTATATGATTTAAAATGTTGTTCATTTATGAGCTCAAACAATTCAAAATGATGTTTGTATATAAGCCCATAAATTTTTTAATCAAGACAAAGATAAACCAGCTACAGCAGAAGATTTTACTGATGAAGAGATTGTAAAAGTTATTTTCTGGAAAAAAATTCAACCTCACAAATATTCCTTCCCAATCACAAAGTGTTGAACTTAGTTGCGTTATTTTTGTAAAAGAAGGTAGTCATAAGCATATTGTTTCAAAAATTCTAGGCACAAAGCATCAGAATTTTATATCTAAATGTTTTTACAGTGAGACACCTGATGATATTCTTAATTAGTTGGAAAACTAATTTAATGCTACTTGTACATATTATATAAAGTAAAAGAAAATTGAATAAAATTTGGGTTATTTGTTGCATAGCGTTGTAAAGATGACCATAAGATAAATAAAAAAAGATCAATTTTGAATCTTGTATTTATCTAACTACAAAAACACAGAAATTATTTCAAAGGTTTTTAATTTTAATTTTTTTTTTTAAATTAGTTTTTAATTTTAATTTTTTTTTTAAATTAGTTTTTAATTTTAATTTTTTACACTTCATACTCTGATTAAGATTCCTTTCTATTTAAAAAATATTTTATTATTACAATTATTTTTTTAAAAAATATTTTATTATTACAATTATTTTTTTAAAAAATATTTTATTATTACAATTATTTTTTTAAAAAATATTTTATTATTACAATTATTTTTTTAAAAAATATTTTATTATTACAATTATTTTTTTAAAAAATATTTTATTATTACAATTATTTTTTTAAAAAATATTTTATTATTACAATTATTTTTTTAAAAAATATTTTTTTATTACAATTATTTTTTTAAAAAATATTTTATTATTACAATTATTTTTTTAAAAAATATTTTATTATTACAATTATTTTTTTAAAAAATATTTTATTATTACAATTATTTTTTTAAAAAATATTTTATTATTACAATTATTTTTTTAAAAAATATTTTATTATTACAATTATTTTTTTAAAAAATATTTTATTATTACAATTATTTTTTTAAAAAATATTTTATTATTACAATTATTTTTTTAAAAAATATTTTATTATTACAATTATTTTTTTAAAAAATATTTTATTATTACAATTATTTTTTTAAAAAATATTTTATTATTACAATTATTTTTTTAAAAAATATTTTATTATTACAATTATTTTTTTAAAAAATATTTTATTATTACAATTATTTTTTTAAAAAATATTTTATTATTACAATTATTTTTTTAAAAAATATTTTATTATTACAATTATTTTTTTAAAAAATATTTTATTATTACAATTATTTTTTTAAAAAATATTTTATTATTACAATTATTTTTTTAAAAAATATTTTATTATTACAATTATTTTTTTAAAAAATATTTTATTATTACAATTATTTTTTTAAAAAATATTTTATTATTACAATTATTTTTTTAAAAAATATTTTATTATTACAATTATTTTTTTTTAAAAATATTTTATTATTACAATTATTTTTTTAAAAAATATTTTATTATTACAATTATTTTTTTAAAAAATATTTTATTATTACAATTATTTTTTTAAAAAATATTTTTTTATTACAATTATTTTTTTAAAAAATATTTTATTATTACAATTATTTTTTTAAAAAATATTTTATTATTACAATTATTTTTTTAAAAAATATTTTATTATTACAATTATTTTTTTAAAAAATATTTTATTATTACAATTATTTTTTTAAAAAATATTTTATTATTACAATTATTTTTTTAAAAAATATTTTATTATTACAATTATTTTTTTAAAAAATATTTTATTATTAAAATTATTTTTTTAAAAAATATTTTATTATTACAATTATTTTTTTAAAAAATATTTTATTATTACAATTATTTTTTTAAAAAATATTTTATTATTACAATTATTTTTTTAAAAAATATTTTATTATTACAATTATTTTTTTAAAAAATATTTTATTATTACAATTATTTTTTTAAAAAATATTTTATTATTACAATTATTTTTTTAAAAAATATTTTATTATTACAATTATTTTTTTAAAAAATATTTTTTTATTACAATTATTTTTTTAAAAAATATTTTATTATTACAATTATTTTTTTAAAAAATATTTTATTATTACAATTATTTTTTTAAAAAATATTTTATTATTACAATTATTTTTTTAAAAAATATTTTATTATTACAATTATTTTTTTAAAAAATATTTTATTATTACAATTATTTTTTTAAAAAATATTTTATTATTACAATTATTTTTTTAAAAAATATTTTATTATTACAATTATTTTTTTAAAAAATATTTTATTATTACAATTATTTTTTTAAAAAATATTTTATTATTACAATTATTTTTTTAAAAAATATTTTATTATTACAATTATTTTTTTAAAAAATATTTTATTATTACAATTATTTTTTTAAAAAATATTTTATTATTACAATTATTTTTTTTAAAAATATTTTATTATTACAATTATTTTTTTAAAAAATATTTTATTATTACAATTATTTTTTTTAAAAATATTTTATTATTACAATTATTTTTTTTAAAAATATTTTATTATTACAATCCATAAGCTAGAACACTGTTTTTAAGGAGCATTTTAAATAAAGTTTTTGTGTTTTTTTATAAAATTCTGAACAGATTTTGTTCCAGATTTTATAAAATAAAATTATAAAAGAGAGAATATTTTTGATAATAAATGGTAATGTCTAGTTTAAAAAAAAAATTAAAGTTAAATAGTGGATATTTATTTTGTTTTTCTTTATTTCGCCAGAACTTCATTAACCATTTATTTAACCATGAAATATGAAAATTTATAATAATGTTTTATAAACTCACATAAATAAGGTTAGGTGTCACTTATATAGTTAAAAACTAGTCAATAACTATGAAGCCAGTTTTTCTTCACATTTATATTTTTTATATATCAAATAACCTTTATATATCTTACCTCCTGCAAAATTCACCAGACTTGCTTGCACTCAGTGAAACAAATTTAAATTCTGCAATTCCTTCTTCAGATGTCAGTGTTGATGGGTACTATCCTTTCCATTCGTAAAGACTCCAATAGTCACATGCTAGGTTTAGGGGTATACATACGCATTAATTCCCCTATTTGTCGTGAAATCAGGTTCGACTTCTTTGACTATTCTTTTATGTGCTTTCGCCTAGCACCTCTTCACTCAATCACCTTTCTCTTTGTTCTTTATCATTCTCCTTCTTCCCATGATTGCACTCTTTTAGATGTTATCTCTGATCAAATTGACCATGCCTTCTCTCTTTACCCCTCTGCCAATATTGTTGTTGTTGGTGATTTTAATGCCCATCACACTGAATGGCTTGGCTCTAACACCACTGATCCTGCTGGCACTAAAGCTTTTAACTTCTGCGTTTCTCAATCTCTTACTCAGATAGTTAACTTTGTGACTCGTTTTCCTGACAACCCTAATCAATTACCTTCTTTCCTTGACTTATGTCTTGTCTCTGACCCTAGCTTATATTCAGTTTCTCCCTTTTCTCCTTTAGGTGGTTCTGACCATGCAATGATCTCTATAAATCTTTCTTCTCGTACTTCTTTTTTGGGCTCACCTTATCATCGCACCACCTACTACTACCCTAAAGCTGACTGGGATTCCTTTCGTGATTTTCTTCGTGATGGTCCTTGGGCTGATGTTTTTTCTCGCTCAGCTGACAAATGCGCCTCCTACATAACCTCCTGGATTCAGGCTGGAATGGAAACTTTTATTTCTTCTCGTCGGTTTCAAGTCAAGCCTCATTCTACTCCATGGTTTTCTCCTTCTTGTGCGGCTGCTATATCCAATCGTAATCATTCTTTTCATCTTTTTCAAAAGAACAACTCTCTTGAGAACAAACAGCTATTTATTATTGCAAGAAATCGATGTAAAAAGGTGCTTTCTGATGCTAAACTCCATTATTCTCAGTTCACTAAATCTCGCATCTTATCACAGAAGTTAGGCTCTAAAGACTTTTGGAAAATCTTCAACAGCGTTGTTAACAAGAATAGATCTAACATTCCATCTCTCATTCATGGGACTGATCTTATTACCTCTCCCAAGGATAAAGCCGAACTATTTGCAAAGAACTTTTCTTCTAATTCCACTCTTGAATCTTATGGACATTCTCTTCCTTCCATTCCAGTAAAACAGGTTGACCCATTGTTAGACATTCAAATCACTCCGGCTTCTGTTGCTAAAGTCATATCTCAATTAAACTTGTCTACAGCTTGTGGTCCAGACAACATTCCTGTCACAGTCTTGCAGAATTGTTCTCCAGAACTTACTTTAATTCTCTCTAAACTATTTAACAAGTGTTTGACTGAGTCTTGTTTTCCTGCTTGTTGGAAAATGGCATCTGTGGTTCCAATATTCAAAAACTATGGAGAAAATTCTGACCCCTCCAATTATTGTCCGATCAGTCTTCTTTCTGTTATTAGCAAGGTCTTTGAGTCTTTGATCAACAAATTCCTCACATCTCATCTTGAGTCAAATAAACTACTGTCAGACAATCAATACGGTTTTCGATCTTCTCGCTCTACGGCCGACTTGCTAACTGCTGTAACTGAAAGATTTTATCGTGCATTAGATGGAGGCGGTGAGGCTAGGGCTATTGCTCTCGACATATCTAAAGACAAAGTTTGGCATGCTGGTCTTCTCCATAAGCTTGCTTCATATGGTGTTTCTGGGAAAGTTTTTGAGATTATCAAATCATTTCTTTCTAACCGGTTTATTAAAGTCATCCTTGAAGGCCAACACTCTTCTTTATTTTCAGTAACTTCTGGGGTTCCCCAAGGTTCCATCCTGGGCCCTGTTTTGTTTTTTATCTACATGAACGATCTTCCTGACAACCTTTCATCTAAAGTAGCTCTTTTTGCTGATGACTCAACTTTATACTCCTGTCTTGACAAAAAGTCTTCTCTTTTCAATCGCCTAGAACAAGCAGCTGATCTTGAATCCGATCTCACTTCAGTAATAGATTGGGGTTCACAGTGGCTTGTGACTTTCAACTCTAAAAAAACCCAGTTGCTTACTGCAAACAACTACCGTAATATGGTCAATATTCCTATAATAATGAATGGCAATCCTCTTACTGAGTCCTCCTCTTTATGTCTTCTTAAATTATTGCTTACTACTGACCTTTCATGGAAACCATATATACAATCGATTGCTAAATTAGCTTCTGCTAAGGTTGCTTCTGTTTATTGTGCTCGCCATTTCCTTACTTCTGATTCCATTCTCTACCTCTACAAATCTCTTATTCGTCCTTGTATGGAATACTGTTGTCATATTTGGGCTGGTTCTTCTAACGATTCACTTTCTCTTCTTGACAAGGTCCAAAAATGCATTGTAAATGTTGTTGGACCTGGACTATCTGCTAAGCTTGAACCTCTTTCCCATCGTCGTAACGTTGCATCTCTTTCTCTTTTCTACAGATACTATCATGGTCACTGCTCAAAGGAGTTATCATCTCTAGTTCCATCAACTAAAACTCACTCGTCATTCAGCTAAGTCTCATTTGTTTACTGTATCTGTCCCTGCATGCTCTAAAAACTTTTATTCATCTAGTTTTTTTCCCCGCACTTCAATCCTTTGGAACTCTCACCCATCTTCATGTTTTCCTGACTCATACAACCCTTAACTTTTCAAGTCTTCTGTCAACCGTTTCCTTGCTCTATAACTCTGTTCTTTTTTTTCCTAGTAACTCCCAACTTAATAGTGGTTGCTTGTCGCTTTGTTGAGAGTAAATGCAAATAAAAAAAAAAAAAATGTTGATCAATTTTTTTGTTGAAACAGAAAAGTTGTTACATGAAAAATCGAGCAGATAGAGTTGTTGTATTTGACATATTTAGCTCCCAAATCTCTTGCGATATTTATATTTTTTTTGTTTACTATCATTATAATTTTTATTTACTACCTCTATAAAATTTGTTATTTTTACTTTTGTAACAAATAGTTATGTTCAACTTCTTTTCGTACAATTAATGTAGTTCTGACCTGAGATACATGAAATTTGTTCCTTATCAATTTTTTGTTGTTTACAAATGGAATCAATAAGATTATGTTCTTGTTCAAAAAAAGAAACAAACCAATTCATATAAATAAAGTTTTTCATTTGTCAATTAATCTAAAGTTTGAAATTTTTTTTGGAAAATCTGCTAAAGTTTTGTGAGTTTTTTGGAAAATCTGCTGAAGTTTTGAGTGAGATTTTATTCTACCTGAGTAATTTTTATACACCAAAATAATTTAGACTTTTCTTTCGTTTTAAGAATTCTTAATACCATATAATAAGCTAAACATGAAATTTTTTTTCAAAAAATTTTTTATGTCTAGCTTGTTATATTGTTCTAGAATTTTTTTTTTCAAAATTAAATAATATTTTAATTATATTTTTAGTACTGAATCAAATGATCTTGCAATGCGACTTGCTGAAACATACACAAAACATAAAGATGTTGTTGTTATTGACGAGTAAGATATGTTTTAAATTTTTATTTTTATTTAAACCATAATATTAGTGTAAATATTTACGAGAGCAGACCTAATTCAGAAATTTAAAAAATATTTTAGCGATATGATAAATGATTTGTGATAATGAATCAAAGCTTTATTATGATGAAGCATGCTTTTCAACTTCTCAACTTCTTATTTATTGATTTTTTTTTTTAATTACTATTTTTTAATAGTATTGTTTTAAAGAAAACATTTCTTGTTTAATTCTTTTTTTATTATTGCTATGAACTATCAACTTAAAAAAGTTAAGTGTTTTTAAAATTTTAAAAGTATTTCTTTATTTAATAATGGTTTTTGTTAAATAAAATCATATTTAATGTTCAGTTTTTTCTTTTATAAAAATTTAATAAAAATATTAGATTTTTATATCATAACCTTATATTATAAGGCAAAAAATTTTTAAAATATTTCTTAACTAAAAAACATTCTTAATTAAAAATCTTTTCATTAAAACTGATTTTCTTATGTTTTTGTATGACATCTGTGTGCCTTTAATGCTGCATTTATTATATATATATATATATATATATATATATATATATATATATATATATATATATATATATATATATATATATATATATATATATATATATATATATATATATATATATATATATATATATATATATATATATATATATATATATATATATATATATATATATATAACACCCCTGCCTTGGGGCTCTTGGTTGAGGAAAGGCTAGAGATGGTGTCTCAATAAAAATACTCATCTTGGGCAGATGTTACATGCATCCGGCTGCTGTCTTGTAGAAGGCCTCCTAGGCAAAGACTTAAGGGGTAAACAGATTCTTTCTGTTGACCAGCCTTGCACCCCTTCTTTATCTATTAGGTTGGCGCAGATGTATTTTTAATACATTGTTTCCAGTTTAGAATGTTGAGTGCTGGATCTTCTTGACTCGATGCAATGGTTTTGCTTGTGTCTTTGTTTTTATGACTAGGCAACTTAGTCTATTATCTCCAAATGAGGGTACAGCTCTAAAACTCAGTTTTATGGTTATGAGGCCGGCTGGTAATCAGGTTTCCCAAACTCTGTGGTAGCTCTCAGAGAGGCTGATTCCATCAACAGCTCAAAAAAATCTAAGTAATAATAGTGCCATGTTGCGCATGGATGGTGTCCCTGTTTGTACTTTTGGTGTGCATTGCCAAGGCCACATTGGAGCCCTTTGTTACGGCATAGGGTTTATTAATAGAAATGAGACAATTGCTTGGGCTGTAAAACAGTGTACTGAGTACTATCTATGTTTTGAGTCAAGTTCTTTAATAAATTTAAAAATGAATAAAGTAACAAAAACTATAAAACACAAAAAACCACAGTCATCACCAAGTTCGCTAAACCTATCATTCACCAATATTTGTGGTCTTCGAAGTAACTTTTCTTCTGTTGAGTCTTATCTCTTGCAAAGTTCACCAGACCTACTTGCTCTTTGTGAGACTAATTTGAGTTCAGCTGTCTCATCTTGTGATCTTTGTGTTGATGGTTATCTTTAATTCGTAAAAACTCCAATAGTCACATGCTTGGCCTGGGCATTTACATTCGTAAGAATTCACCTATTTTTCGGGAAACAAGGTTTGAATCCACAGACTACTCTTTTATGTGCTTATTTAGCACCACTTCACTCTATCACCATTCTCTTTGTTCTATATCGCTCTCCCTCATCTCAAGACTGCACTCTTCTTGATGTTATTTCTGATCATATTGACCAAGCCCTCTCTCTTTATCCATCAGCCAATATTGTTGTTGTCGGTGACTTCAATGTTCATCACACTGAATGGCTTGGCTTTAGTGTCAGTGACTCTGCAGGCATTAAGGCCCACAACTTTTGCCTTTCTCAATATAGTCAACTCAAATAGTCAACTTTCCAACTCGCTTTCCAGACAACCTGAATCATTTACCTTTTCTACTCGACTTATGTCTTGTTTCTGATCCTAGTCAGTGCTCAGTTTCTTCACACTCATGCTTAGGTGCTTCTGATCATGGTTTGATCTCTCTAAAACTATCATCTCATTCTTCTTTATCATCAGAATCCCCCTATCATCGTACATCTTACAACTACCTTTAAGCTGACTGGGACTCTTTCTGTGATTTTCTTTGTGATGGTCCCTGGGTAGAAATCTTTCGTTTTCCTATTGACAAATGTGCTTCTTACATAACTTCGTGGATTCAGGCTGACATGGAATCTTTTATTCCCTCTCGACGGTTCCAGGTCAAGCCTCACTCTTCTCCATGGTTTTCCTCGCATTGTGCTGCTGCAATTGCCAATCGAAACCATTACTTCCATATCTATCAGCAAAACAATTCTCTAGAAAACAGATGTCTGTTTATTACTGCTAAGAACCATTGTAAAAAGGTTCTGTCTAACGCCAAAGCCCGCTATTTTCAGATAATGAAATCTCGTATTTCATCACAAAAGTTAGGCTCTCTTGACTTCTGGAGAATCTTTAATAGTATCAATAATAAGGGCAAGTCTGTAATTCCACCTCTTTTGTATGGTTCAGACTTTGTCACCTCAACTAAAGACAAAGCTGAATTGTTTGCTAAGAACTTTTCATCAATATCATCTCTTGACTCCACTAGTTGCGCTCTACTTGATATAGCCGTCAAACAGGTTGATCCATTGCTCGACATCCATATCACTCCAGCTTCTGTATCTAAAGTGATTTCCTGCTTAGACTCTTCTACACCTTGCGGCCCGGACCTGTTATAGTCTTGCATAAGTGTTCTCCGGAGCTGTTGTCTATCCTTTCAAAACTATTTAAGATGTGCTTATCAGAGTCTTGTTTTCCAGCCTGCTGGAAAGCAGCATCTGTTATCCCTATTTTTAAAAATTCTGGACAGCGATCCGATTTATCTAACTACTGTCCCATTAGTCTACTTCCTATCATAAGCAAGGTTTTTGGATCTTTAATTAAGAAACACTTAATCTTTTATCTTGAATCTCATAGCCTACTTTCTGATAATCAATATGGATTTCGATCTTCTCGTTCTATGGCTGATTTGCTAATAGTAATAACCGATAGGTTTTATCGCGCATTAGATAAAGGTGGAAAGGTTAAGGCCATTGCTCTTGACATTTCTAAAGCGTTTGATAAAGTTTGGCATGCTGGTCTTCTCCATAAGCGTTCTTTTTACAGTGTATCTGGAAACATCTTTAAGATTATTGAATCTTTTCTTTTCAATCGTAGTATAAAAGTTGTCCTTGATGGACAGCACTCTTCTTCTTATTCTGTAACCTCAGGGGTTCCTCAAGGTTCAATCCTTGGCCCTATACTCTTTTTAATTTACATTAACGATCTTCCAGATATTTTCACATCTAAAGTGGCATTGTTCGCTGATGATACTACCATTTATTCTTGTCACGATAAGAAGCCAACTCCCCCTTATTGCTTGCAGGGGGCATTTGAGCTTGAAAGGGATCTCACTTCTGCTACAGCATGGGGCTCACAGTGGCTGGTGAACTTTAATTCAGATAAAAGTCAATTTTTTTTGGCCAATCGTTATCGCAATAATTTAGACCTTCCTATATTTATGAACAGTAATGTACTCAATGAGTCATCTACCCTTCATCTTCAAGGATTAACTCTCACTTCTGATCTTTCTTGGAAACCTTATATCAAATCCGTTGCAAATTTAGCATCTGCTAAAGTTGCATCTCTTTATTGAGCTTGGCACTTTCTTACTCTGGATTCTATTCTCTATCTCTATAAATCTCAAATCTGACCTTGTATGGAATACTGTTGCCATATCTGAGGCGGATCTTCTAATGATGCCCTTTCTCTTTTAGACAAGGTGGAAAAACGCATTGTAAACATAGTTGGACCTGCTCTTGCAGCCAACCTTCAACCTCTGTCACATTGTCGTAATTTTTCTTTTCTTTCTCTATTCTACAAATACTATAATGGGCACTGCTCTAAAGAGCTAGCGTCTCTTGTACCATCTACTAAAATTCATTCTCGTGTTACTTGTCATTCAATTAAGTCTCATCCTTTTTCTGTTACTGTTTTTAAGCGCTCCAAAAACTCTTATTCGTTTAGTTTTTTTCTTCGAATATCAGTTATTTGGAATTCTCTTCCTTCATCTTGCTTTCCTGATTCATATAATTTGCAATCTTTTAAGTCATCTGTCAATCGTTATCTTGCTCTACAACCTTCATCTTTTCTCTTCCGTTAACTTCCAACACTAATTAGTGGTTGCTTGCAGCCTTGTTGGAAGCGAAGATGTTGAAAAAAATATATATATATATTGTGATATTTTTATGTAAGAATTATAGGGTTCTGTATGTAAGAATTCTATGTAAGGGTTCCCCTTTTGTACCTTTTGTAAGAATTTAAGGTTCTATCTCCCTTTTGTACTGTTGGAAGTATTTAACAAGATTTTTTATACTCTCTAAACTATTTAAAACTAAAAGTAAAAATTTGGAAAATTCATTAAATAAAAATATCAAAATATCAAATTTGTTAGATTTATTGCTACGAATACACATTATTTATTATTAATAAGTAATATTAATTGATATAAGACAAAATAGCATATTGGTAGATGAGAATAGTAAGGTACTATCTCTATATTTTCATGGTAAAAAAATTTAATTATATGTTTTTAGTTATAATATTATTTTTGTGTTCAAAGTTATATAATTTTAATATATTAATCTTATTATTATCATTGTTTATATAACTAAAAATTGGTAATTTTTGTTTTTTCATTGCCAATTTCAACCTTATTTAATAAAGTAATTAAATTATTTTTTTTTAATAATTAAATTGTAAAATTTTAAATTAATAGTATAAGGTTAATTATAAAACATAATTAACATAAAAAACGTTATTGCTCTTACCATTATCTTACCTATGATTCTTTTCTCTACATCCTCAAGTTATAAATATAAACAACAACAACTGTAAAACATTTAAATAATTAAAAATCGAAAGTT